CAGCCCATGGAGGTGAACGGTGGAGCAGAGATCCACCAGCCCGTGGAGGACCCCATGCTGGAACAGGTGGGTGCCCGAAGGAGGCTGTGACCCTGTGGAAAGCCTGCACTGGAGCAGGCTGCTGGCAGGACCTGTGGCCCCATGGAGAGAGGAGCCCAGGCTGGAATCTAAGCATTATTAATCCATCTCTAATTGTTACACAAAAAGAAAGAAGAAATTTTTTTTATGTACGGTGCTTACTTTCTACCCCTTTTCCTGGTGGTATGCCTACCCTTCTAGAGCTGCTCTGGGTCCTTTAGTTGGTGGTTTCATTCCTGGGCAGTGGTGAGAGGAGGGGACTTGTTGGCAGCATCTGGAGTCCTCCTCTGGGTGGAATATGATGTTTATGTTGCTGCTTTCTTCTTCCTCGCTCTAGGGGGTTACACTCACACTTGGGATTATTTTTATAAGTTTTTGTAATATACTTTTATATGTTTTTCTGGTGATCTGCAGCTCCATGTTCCATTTCAAGGTACTGTATAAAATATCATTTATGTATGTTGGATACTACTTTGTTTTTTGGCTCTAGGTGACTCTGCTTGAGTGGGTCTGATTGGACAAAATGACCCCCAGGGCAGTCAGCAAATATCTTGTGCAGCTTGTGCCCTGCCACCATGGTTTACATCAAGTTGTTAGCAGCCTTAGGGAAAAAGAAAAAGTTGTAGCTCCCTGAAGAATCTTCAGAGTTGAACAAATTAGTTACATTTACCATGTAATTTCTTGGCATTCACAAAATTTCATTGTTTGGCTTCTCCTGCAATAGTGGGAAGTAATTTGGGGGCAGCAGATAGTGTCCTACAATGAAGAGAATCAAAGGAATAGAGGAAGACTACCATTAAAAGTATTCACCTAAACTCTGTCTCCTTGAGCGAGTTAGGGGGTGCTGAACGTGAAGTTATGCTGGCAAAGCTGAAGGAATGGTAACCTGTTGATGGAAAGGAGGATGAACAATTCCAAAGGTCTCAGTTTGGCTTACATGTACCAGAGTAGCGTATCTACCATTAACCACAAATTTCTCAGGAAAACAGACATACTGCTCTTTTTCCTCTATGGACGTCCAAAATAGAGCTTCAGTGCAATGAAAACAGAAGCCGTTTTGGCTGATGAAGCAGCCTACTCTGCTTTCTTGTTTAGGCAAGAAGTAAAATGGTGTGTTACAGAGTTAGTACAGGGGGTAGAATATAGCTCGTGAGCTTCCCTGCTAGTTCCAGATGCTGCTTCAGGAACTTGCAAACAGCTTTATACGCTTCCCCCAGAGATGCTCCCATTGCGAGTTCTTCATCCTTGGACATTGTGTATCTTACTGACCACTTACTGAAAGCTAATAACGCCCAGCTGCTGTCTTTGCTACCTGCACTAAGCACAGCCTCACATATATCGTCTAGTGGTGCAGTTTTAATTTCACTGAGACAGAGAAGCTGGTTCTTACATTTCTTCGCTGCTTTGCATTCTAAGTTGAGCACAACCTGTGTCCTGTCCTGATGTTCCTGAAAAATGAGCAGCGATAAAGGACAGGGCTTAACTGACAACAAGTAAGGTGAAAATAACCAGAGCATTAGTTCAGAGACCACTCTCCAATAACCTCCATCTGCTGCAGGAATTTGCCTTATTGTTGCCCAGAGGCCCTGCTAGACATTCAGATATTCACTGCAAAATTACAGAGCTGATGTGGCTTTTCTGCAACAGAAGACATTGAAGTTCTCAACAGGCACACAGTTTTTCAAATAGTTTTTCTGTCTAGGAAAATGTGTTGAACATGGTGGAGCAGGTTAACAAGTATTGATCACATTTACAGAATGACATGTACTTCCTTTAGTTTTCAGAATAAGCATTGCTGCGTTATTCCACAGCATGAAAAGAAGTACAGAGAAGACATACACTGCACCAGCAGCTCAGAAACACAAGCAGAAGTGTCAGAGTACTTGCCGCAATTTTTAATAGATGCATTGAACTGATACAAGTCCTATCCATGTTCTTCTGCACTTCAACATAAATAACACTCCTGAGCCAGGAATTTAGCCCTCTTTCTTTTCTATACCAAGTCCAGTATAACAAAAAACTGTGGGAAGAGGGTGTTGTTCTTAAGTTTGGTGGTGCTTGTTTTGTTTTTTTTTTTTTCTTAAATAAAATAAATAGCCTGTTTAACCTAATTGAACTTTTTTTTTTTTTAATTCTAGCAAAGGGGTATGTTCTGTTAGCTGTTATGCTAATGCTTAAAAACCTTGTTTGCAGTAAAATGATCACAGAATCATAGAATACCAGGTTGGAAGGGACCTCAGGGATCATCTGGTCCAACCTTTCTAGGCAAGAGCACAGTCTAGACGAGACGGCCCAGCACCACGTCCAGCTGAGTCTTAAACGTGTCCAGTGTAGCGGAGTCAACCACTTCCCTGGGGAGATTATTCCAATGGTTGACTGTTCTCATTGTGAAAAATTTACCTCTCGTGTCCAATCGGAATCTCCCTGGGAGTAACTTGTACCCGTTACCCCTTGGCCTCACCATGTGACTCCTTGTAAAAAGGGAGTCTCCATCTTCTTTGTAGCTCCCCTTTAAGTACTGGTACGTGGTGATGAGATCACCTCTAAGCCTCCCTTTCTCAAGGCTGAACAAACCCAGCTCTCTCAGCCTATCCTCATATGGCAGGCTTCCCAGACCCTTGATCATCTTGGTGGCCCT